ATCGTGAACACTTAAAATCCTTTACCAACTCTTGTAAAGACTATAAAATTAATGAACACTCTCGCCATACCTCGGGGGTACTTTCGGTAACTTTCGACCATTATTATTGACTACTTCGGCTTGGTCAATCTTCATTTAAACTTGCCATTATACTTCAAACGCGCGCTATCGTGAACACTTAAAAGCCTTTCTCATCAGGCGTTATTTTTGTCCCCCTCGAGCCAAAGAAGCAAAAAAATAAATAAATAAATAAATAACGCCTGATCTCAGGTTAACTGTTGAACACTATACAAATCAATGAACACTCTCGCAATGCTTCGGGGGTACTTCCCGTAACTCACGACCACTATCATTGACTACTTCAGCTTGTGTCACGCGCGCCATCGTGAACACTTAAAAGCCTCCGCCAACTCTTGTAAACACTATAAAATTAATGAACACTCTCGCAATACTTCGGGGGTACTTTTGGTAACTTTCGACCACTATCATTGACTACTTAGTTTAAACGTACCTTTACTTCGAACGCGCGCTATGGTGAACACTTAAAAGCGTTTGCCAACTTGTAAACACTATAAAATTAATGAGCACTCTCGCAATACTTCGGGGGTACTTTCGGTAATTTTCGACTAATTGACTACTCATTGACTACTTCGGCTTGCGTCAATCTTCATTTCAACTTACCATTACTTCGAACGCGCGCCATCGTGAACACTTAAAAGCCTTTGCCAACTCTTGTAAACACTATAAAATAATCCTGCGGGGGTACTTTCGGTAACTTCGACCACTATCATTGACTAGTTCGGCTTGGTCAATCTTCATTTAAACTTACCATTACTTCGAAAGCGCGCTATCGTGAACACTTAAAAGCCTTTGCCAACTTGTGAACTCTATAAAATTAGTGAACACTCTCGCAATGCTTCGGGGGTACTTCCCGTAACTCACGACCACTATCATTGACTACTTCAGCTTGTGTCAATCTTCATATATACGCTTACCATTACTTCGTACGCGCGCCATCGTGAACGCTTAAAAGCCTTTGCCAACTCTTGTAAACACTATAAAATTATTGAAAACTCTCGCAATACTTCTGGGGTACTTTCGGTAACTTCGACCATTATCATTGACTACTTCGGCTTGGTCAATCTTCATTTAAACTTACCATTATTTCGAACGCGCGCCATCGTGAACACTTAAAAGTCTTTGCCAACTCTTGTAAACACTATAAAATTAATGAAAACTCTCGCAATACTTCGGGGGTATTTTCGGTAACTTCGACCATTATCATTGACTACTTCGGCTTGGTCAATCTTCATTTAAACTTACCATTACTTCGAACGCGCGCCATCGTGAACACTTAAAAGTCTTTGCCAACTCTTGTAAACACTATAAAATTAATGAAAACTCTCGCAATACTTCGGGGGTATTTTCGGTAACTTCGACCATTATCATTGACTACTTCGGCTTGGTCAATCTTCATTTAAACTTACCATTACTTCGAACGCGCGCCATCGTGTACACTTAAAAGCCTTTGCCAACTCTTGTAAACACTATAAAATAATCCTGCGGGGGTACTTTCGGTAACTTCGACCACTATCATTGACTACTTCGGCTTGGTCAATCTTCATTTAAACTTACCATTACTTCGAAAGCGCGCTATCGTGAACACTTAAAAGCCTTTGCCAACTTGTGAACTCTATAAAATTAATGAACACTCTCGCAATCCTTCGGGGGTACTTTCGGTAACTCTCGACCGCTATCTTTGACTACTTTGGCTCGCTGATTACTTTCGAACGCGCTCTTAAATACCTTTACGAGCTTCGCGCAAAACCTCCGGTATCATAATTTCCTGTGACTCGTAAATCTAAAAGGCACCTCTAGCTGTCGCCACTCTATAAACCAAATTTATACCGACTTGTTTAATGCTTTATCTTCTTTTTGACACTGTATTTACACGAACTTTCTCACGCTTTTGTTAAATTTCTGTCGCCATTATTAATTATTTCATGCGTTTGTAAGGCATAGAGTGCTTTAGTAACCTTTATTTGCTTTCATAATACGCTTTCGATGGCGCGATTCCGTAAACTTGCAAACGTGTATCATTGTCAACTTCGTTGTCATTTAGGGCCTGTTTACATGAAGGTGGGGTACCCCAGGTAGGTGAGGTAACTCTGTGGCGGGTTACCCCACCCAACATGTAAAAGTGATCAAATTAAAATGAGAGATTGTATGGACAGGCGGGTTACCCCACCTAAGCGGGTTACCTCATCTACCTGGGGTCCCCCACCTCCATGTAAACAAGCCCTTAGTGTTACCCTTTGTGTTACCCGATCTTGTCATTCTCGGTCCTTAACTGTCGTCTTGTTTACTTGGGTTTGTATGAATGTGGTTATCTCAAAATCATTTATGATTTTGTTGCGATTATAGTAGTAAACTGTATTAACAAATAAAACTCTGTGCCCAATACTCGTTTAATCTGGTGTTTGTGATAAAAATAAAATATATATTTTCATTGTTGATGTCATATAAACATTAAAACTCAGTTCAAGAATATTTCTGTTTGAGGGTAGATATTTGTTTTGCGTCTAAAGTGAATGAGATTTGGTTAATGTATACAACGTTATACATTATAAGCTTTATGTAATGTAAAGAAGCTGAAAGGATAAGCAACATAAAGAATGTGGAATAGTGGGTTGTAAGCTATATGTTCTATAAAAATATATTAAGCTGCAACTGTTGAATTAATAAAGGTATTGAATTTTTAAGAAACTGTGTTGATGAACCAGTGGGATATTAAATAAAATTGTTTTAATCTGAAATTAAGCTTGTAAATTATAATTTTACCACAGTAATGAGAACTGAGCGCTATCCATTTTGTGCTCGCAGATGTCTAAGCAAAAAAAGAAAAAGAAACTGGGAGAGAATGGAATGGTTCACTCCATCGAAGCTTATTGTTCTGGTCTGCCTTCGAACCGCAATGGTGTCATTCGCTTTCAATTCAATAGCTCCTCTTCTGTCGTTGATATAGAATTTCGTGTCCGCTACCCTTTCATTACGTTAATGGGAGTTAACCGTTAGCCTTAAAACAGCCAAAAATGGAAATTTTAAGGCTTATAGTCGGTACAGCAAGGAGCCCAAAAGTGTTAACTCCTTTAATTAATTCACATTCTTTCGTGATGACAATAACCAATCAGAAGTCGAGGACAGTTTCCAGCTGGCTTCTGATTGGATTAAATCTGCACGAAAGCATGTGAATAAAGCAAAAGCGGTCACACTTTTGGGCTCCTTGCTGTGAGAGGTAACGGAATAATATTTTCTAGCCACAACTTGTTAATGTACAGAGCTTCAATATTGCGTGTTATGACTTCAGGTGTCTTTTATAGACCAAAATGATTTCACCCTTTTTTCTATCCTGGAAAGGTCCGAAAGGCCTAAACGGACAAAAATTGAACGTTATGGGTTCCTTCGACAAGCCTTTTTAAACCCTCCTTCTTGCAGTGATTTTCTCCCGCGGAAACGATTTCAAGAGATTTCATTCAAGGGTGTTAAGAGTCATGAACGGCAGCCGACTGCTGCGTGTATTTGACTCATTGTCCTTAGGCTACGACACTCTATGTACACTCAATAAACCGGATAGCTTTTGCGCATGCGCCGACAAGGAAACCATAGCACTTCTGTTCCGGCACATACCAACAGCGCATGATTTTGGCGCCATTTCTGTAACGGAGCGAAGGTGCGTCACGCCGATCTCAAAAGGGAGAGTCACATATCGGATAGGTGTTCATACTATACTCGTGTAAACATAGTTTAAACTACTAATGCCGTTGATATAGCATCATAATCTTCATCGGACATAAACTCCTCTATTTCAGCCTCCATGCTGGATCTGTAACCTTCTCTGTGGTAAGCCGAGAACATGGATGGAGTAAAACACTGATTAATTGTTACATGCTGTGGAAAAGCTCCACACACCGCCTCGGAAAAGCCACGACATGTGTCCCCATGGCAACATTCGCAGCAACAGAACGTCAGTCGATCAGCTTCCTCGGCGGATAACTCAGGTCCAGTCCCCCAGAGACTCCTCTCGAGATCTATGTCGACATCATTCCATGCCTCGCATCGCAGGGTCGGTGTTACACCTTTGTCAGGATGTCTGGGCCTGATATAGATAATTTCACCCTCGCCAACTTTAGTCTTTCCATCGCCATTGGGATTTTTGTCATAATAATGCACTTTAAACCTGCATGTGTGTTTCAAAAACCAGAGAATAATTAGTTTATATATATACTGAGAGCGATTCGGATTGGACTGGCCAAGTGTTACCGTTAAAAGCATCAGTTTTGAAAGTAATTTTTGTGGTCAATTCTTCCCATTAAATTTGTTGGTGAAGTTACTAGTAAGTAAGACTAACTAGCACTTTCATAGCCAGGAATAACCAAGAAGAGACATTTCATTTAGGAAAAGAGTCTCTTTGAGGAGGTTACTTTAATTTAAAAACTGGATTGGATTCTCTTATCAGAAGTACAAATTTTATAAAGTTGTGTAAACTACGAAACTGACCTATAACTTCTAGGCTGTGATCCTAATCTTCTTTCGACGAAGTTATCCCTTATATCCTCTGCAATATCCCGTCCATCCATCCCTGAAAATGAGCAACCCAGTTTTCTTCTAGCCAAATCTAAAGCTGTCATAAGAGAACTTCCATAGTCTTGGTCCAAGATGGTGCGACTTCCGTCCACTGACACGATTTTCTTCAGTCTTAATTTCAACAGTGGAAGAATGCCCAAGTTTTCAATGTGACCTCCGTCACTAAGAGACAGGACCGCTGGGNATGGGAGTTAACCGTTAGCCTTAAAACAGCCAAAAATGGAAATTTTAAGGCTTATAGTCGGTACAGCAAGGAGCCCAAAAGTGTTAACTCCTTTAATTAATTCACATTCTTTCGTGATGACAATAACCAATCAGAAGTCGAGGACAGTTTCCAGCTGGCTTCTGATTGGATTAAATCTGCACGAAAGCATGTGAATAAAGCAAAAGCGGTCACACTTTTGGGCTCCTTGCTGTGAGAGGTAACGGAATAATATTTTCTAGCCACAACTTGTTAATGTACAGAGCTTCAATATTGCGTGTTATGACTTCAGGTGTCTTTTATAGACCAAAATGATTTCACCCTTTTTTCTATCCTGGAAAGGTCCGAAAGGCCTAAACGGACAAAAATTGAACGTTATGGGTTCCTTCGACAAGCCTTTTTAAACCCTCCTTCTTGCAGTGATTTTCTCCCGCGGAAACGATTTCAAGAGATTTCATTCAAGGGTGTTAAGAGTCATGAACGGCAGCCGACTGCTGCGTGTATTTGACTCATTGTCCTTAGGCTACGACACTCTATGTACACTCAATAAACCGGATAGCTTTTGCGCATGCGCCGACAAGGAAACCATAGCACTTCTGTTCCGGCACATACCAACAGCGCATGATTTTGGCGCCATTTCTGTAACGGAGCGAAGGTGCGTCACGCCGATCTCAAAAGGGAGAGTCACATATCGGATAGGTGTTCATACTATACTCGTGTAAACATAGTTTAAACTACTAATGCCGTTGATATAGCATCATAATCTTCATCGGACATAAACTCCTCTATTTCAGCCTCCATGCTGGATCTGTAACCTTCTCTGTGGTAAGCCGAGAACATGGATGGAGTAAAACACTGATTAATTGTTACATGCTGTGGAAAAGCTCCACACACCGCCTCGGAAAAGCCACGACATGTGTCCCCATGGCAACATTCGCAGCAACAGAACGTCAGTCGATCAGCTTCCTCGGCGGATAACTCAGGTCCAGTCCCCCAGAGACTCCTCTCGAGATCTATGTCGACATCATTCCATGCCTCGCATCGCAGGGTCGGTGTTACACCTTTGTCAGGATGTCTGGGCCTGATATAGATAATTTCACCCTCGCCAACTTTAGTCTTTCCATCGCCATTGGGATTTTTGTCATAATAATGCACTTTAAACCTGCATGTGTGTTTCAAAAACCAGACAATAATTAGTTTATATATATACTGAGAGCGATTCGGATTGGACTGGCCAAGTGTTACCGTTAAAAGCATCAGTTTTGAAAGTAATTTTTGTGGTCAATTCTTCCCATTAAATTTGTTGGTGAAGTTACTAGTAAGTAAGACTAACTAGCACTTTCATAGCCAGGAATAACCAAGAAGAGACATTTCATTTAGGAAAAGAGTCTCTTTGGGGAGGTTACTTTAATTTAAAAACTGGATTGGATTCTCTTATCAGAAGTACAAATTTTATAAAGTTGTGTAAACTACGAAACTGACCTATAGCTTCTAGGCTGTGATCCTAATCTTCTTTCGACGAAGTTATCCCTTATATCCTCTGCAATATCCCGTCCATCCATCCCTGAAAATGAGCAACCCAGTTTTCTTCTAGCCAAATCTAAAGCTGTCATAAGAGAACTTCCATAGTCTTGGTCCAAGATGGTGCGACTTCCGTCCACTGACACGATTTTCTTCAGTCTTAATTTCAACAGTGGAAGAATGCCCAAGTTTTCAATGTGGCCTCCGTCACTAAGAGACAGGACCGCTGGGGGACTGGGACCTTCGTTGGCAATTTTCATTGCGTTGCGGATGAAGTTGACGTAATAAACGTTGACAGTCAGCCACCTTTGAAAAGAATTGCACGCATCTTTGGAGTGAGTAAACACCAAAGTAAGAGTTATATTGTACGTTTAACTGCTGACCACATTGCATTTATCTATTCTGGACTGGTCTGGGTAACATACGTGGATTTCTATCACGGGAGCCCATAGTATTAGATTATTTAATTTGAAATAAACAAGCAGTTGTTAAGGAGCCAGATTTCAGACTTAAAAATAAAATTGACTCAGTAAACTTAAATCTTTGAACGACGATTTGGTAGTTTATCTACCTAAACGCAAATCAATTTATTTAACCCTCTGCAATTTTGCCCATCTGCGCTCGCTTTGGCTTTCTTGCATTGGCTACAGATTTGAGCGGTTAAATTTGATGTTTTAGGCATTGAAAGTGCTGAAAAGTTTTCACGATCGATCTTTTTTTTTTTTTAGTCGATTTTCAGGAATGTTACTAACATGACGGGGGACGAGGAACAAGATGAGGAACTCGACAATGAAAAAATGGAACAAATCAGAGACTTGTTGCTGCGGAGCGACCGTAGGGGGCGAGCAGCAACATAATCAGGATTTAAGGGAAATATATAGGGGGCGACGAATTCTCGAATTCATCACTTTTTACCACAATGCATTGCATTTAACCAGAGTGCATTGCGCCACGAACAACTCAAAAACACGGCAGTTCGCATCCTTCGCTGCCCAGACTGAGAGTTTTCTTTGTAGCAAATTTTTTACAGCATGGTTAGAGGTCTTACCAAATCTAAGACACGTTGGAGTCTTTCAGAGGAGTACGATGGTTAAATTGGGGATTGGATTTCAATTCAAGAGCCTTTGACTCGTACAGGTGTTAAACCTGACGAGAAGATGAGCATTTGCTCTTCGACTCCGCAACACGGGGGATATACAAACTCCAGCTTGCTAAAAGGTGATGTGAAAGTGAGAAAATGTCATGCCATGCTATTCTTAAGAACCTGTATAAGTCGAAAATGGATGTGATTTTGACCATTCGCTTCAAAATAACGGCGGAAATCGAGATAACAAAACATATGTTTTGTGTCCGGCTACGTTGTAGACGAGGACGTGTATCGGCGTTTTGAAAAGCATAATTATGTTCTTTCATTCATTCATTGCCATGGAATATGCGTTTATATTGTTTTTTTACTGTTAATAGCTCGATTAATGCGGCTGGCGATCATCTTGCCGGCAGAAGTTTCATGATAAAAGGCGTTAAATTAAAGACTTTTGCCGTTGATTAAGTAATCAACCTCTGTGGTGTAGTGGTTAGGTGTAGTCGCGTCGAGCCGATGGTGCTGGGTTCGAGCCCTACCGGACTCTTTTGTCCTTCTTTCTTTTTTTTCCGTTTTTTGTGTTGGCGTTTTCTATAAATATATAGCTAAATAGCTGTTACTTAATAAAGTGCAATAAACAGCAAGAAATGTATCGTGTTTCCAGAGAAAAGATAGTACACCATATATTAAATATATGGATAAACAAATCTGAATTTCTATCATTTCCTACAATTTACTGTGGGAAAACCAGAGTTGATAACCACTTGATCATTTTCTAAACAACGTTCCCACGAGTTCTTTATATAGACTGATAGTAATTATTCTAGTACTTTCTAACAACATGTAAATAGGACATTCAATGTCATTTTCGATTCTTTTGAGTCTCACTGCCTAACTAATGCCAGTATCCACAGAATGTGCCGCAGCATTACTATCTTTTAGATACCCTAGTAATAATTATAAATGAGGTTACTGATGGGGCCAGGGGTCAAGCTAGGTTTTGTTCCCACTTTTCATTTTCCTGTTTCCCTCGCTCGTTCACCATTCCGCGTTTTAGTAACATCCTATTTTAAAAATAGCTACTAAGGAAGTTATGAAATACGTTACCTAGCAATTCGTTCCAGTCTTCCATGTTTTCTACTTCCTGTTGGTACCAGGGCCACCAGTGTCAACAGCAACAAAATGGAGAAAAATATCAGCAGGCCAATGGTCAAGTAATCACCATCGTCAGTGACAAGATAAATAACGAAAAACACGGCCAAAGGAAGACCACGAATGAACTCTATTATTATTGGAAGGACCTATAAATCATAAAGGAAAAAAAAACAAAATTCAGTTCGCCATTCAGATATCAGGGATCGTGCAAAAATTATCAGGAATGAGTGTCTGAAATGAGCAAAATACAGCTGAGAGTTAACTCGAATCTCCCCGTACAAAGGCTAAACATGTTTAAAAGCTAACGTGAAAAAAAAAACTAAACTTTATGACTAAACTACACTAACGAATGGATGACAATGGTTTACGACTATGGGCAGAATANACACGGCCAAAGGAAGACCACGAATGAACTCTATTATTATTGGAAGGACCTATAAATCATAAAGGAAAAAAAAACAAAATTCAGTTCGCCATTCAGATATCAGGGATCGTGCAAAAATTATCAGGAATGAGTGTCTGAAATGAGCAAAATACAGCTGAGAGTTAACTCGAATCTCCCCGTACAAAGGCTAAACATGTTTAAAAGCTAACGTGAAAAAAAAAACTAAACTTTATGACTAAACTACACTAACGAATGGATGACAATGGTTTACGACTATGGGCAGAATAAAATTTTATCACATTGTATTGTTTTCTTTTGTGGAATATCCCCTTTTTAAGTTTTTTTGTCCTGGTCTTATGTCTGTGTTAGGAGGAACTAAATGACCTGAATGCAGAAGTGTCTCTTCTTTTCCTGTCTTTGGTCTGACACGAAGGATGAGCCGCACGACAGTCCAAACATCACTTTAAAATCCTTAAACGGTAATTCGTCACCATGCCTCGATCCTGTCTGATGGTTTAGCGCAGCCGCAGATGTGGCAGCGACATCGGATAGGTAGATATCCATAGGAGTCAGCCTCCCACGCAGTTCCTCCTCACCCTCGGGACGGTCAAGACGCTCTATATTGACTGGACTCATAGTAAGCAGTTCAGAATCTTGTTCTCTGGGGGAGGTAGAACGTCGCCACTGATTGCTTGTAACGCAACCTATGTACTGCGGTGTCATTTCATCGAGGTCATCCAAGGTCAACACTTTGCTGTGTCTGATTCCTTTCATTTCGGGCTTGCAGCAGGTAGGACAATAAAGGAAAAAACTTCGCCAGCTGATTCCAGCGCATCCACATGCACCAATTGTCTCTGGATAGAAAAATGCTTTCTGGATTATCCACCTGCATTAAAATAAAGTATAAGTCTGCTTAATGACTGGCAAAGACCTTTAATTTTTAACAGCATCTTCAAGCGCTTCGTAGCCTAATGTAGACTATGTAGACACACCTTTCTGCATCATCGAGTGGAGAAAAAGCTAGTTAAGTTCAAATCCAAAAACAAAGGGACGGAGAGTTTTCACAGCACGAAGGTTACTATGACTAAGCACCACCATAAAACAAAACAAAAAAAATTAACAATTATTAAGCAAAGGTCCACAATGAACGAAATGGTGCATGTACACGCGGATTCCATACAAGATCATGCCCCGATTATGCTTTGCAACCAGCCTTGTGTTTCATTCGAACAATAATAAGAGATCGAGAATATTCTTTCTTGATGATATATAGATTTAGTCAAGTCCAAAACCGGAGCTAACATTCAATAATAAATGTTTTTTGTAACAAAATGAACCTTAAAACCTTGCAAAGAAAATTACAAGCAGTCTATAGAGGGAAAGAAGTGGATTGTGATTACGTGTGAATATGACATTTAAGGCACGTAATAAGGAAGACAAGAAAGCCGCCTCCAAAACATTTTCCTGTTTTGGTTTTAGAAGTTGGCGTTTTCAAAGAGTTATTTAAACGGAGTAGTTGTAATAAACGTCCTAACATTTTAGTCGTGCTAGAAATGTAACAAATCTTTAGGCTTACCTAATATAAATGTGAACAAGCCGTTGTTGAATGGTGATCAACCATGGGGAGATCCAATGCACTATCGTTGCTAAAGCCAGAATAATATTAAACGTGCCTGGTTTGTACTCAAAACCAAAGGCACTCTCGTTATAAACTCTCCAGTAAATTACAAACGAGCTCAGATATATGGCAGTCATGAGCGTAGTAGAGGAACGGATGGGAGGAAATGAAATCCAAAGACAGAATAAAGGGATGAATATAAGAAACTTTATCCACGTTGGAAGTCGATGAAAAAATTCCTTTATGAACCACGGGAAGAACACCAACGCAAAAAACGCCGCAAAAAAATGAAAAAGAAGATTGAAGAGAGGTTTCCCTTTTGAGGAAAAGCCTTTGATAACGAAAGATGCACATGCAATTCCAGTGGGCGTCAAAAACAGAGCCAGAAGGTGGTACAATGCCCCAGATGATTCGCGGTCTTCTTCGCATTGTTCTATGGTTATGTTTGGATTGTGAAGCACAACTTCGCTACATGGAGCACAACAACTTCTTAGAATATGTCCATATAGATAGTCTATAACATAGGCCAGCGGATATGAAAATGACATCCACAACATGGCTGGTACAAGAATTGTCACAAATAGTAAAACCAAGGTTATAGCTAAACACTCTAAAACTCCCTTGAAAGGATGGTACCAGTGGCATATAAAACCAGCATTCTGTCTCATGTGGTTAAAGAATTCTTGATGCCAGGTTTTGTCGTCCTTCTTGCCATTCCTGCACTTCCAGTCCAGATAGGCCGTACCTGTGTAACCGCCCCCAGACACACAACTGAGGTAGTCAATCTTCACATTCTTCTGCAGTAATCTTCGTAAGACTCCGGAACAAAAGGCAGCTGACCTTATCCCACCACCAGAAAATGCTAAACCAGTTTTGTTCATGGCTGCAANGAATTCTTGATGCCAGGTTTTGTCGTCCTTCTTGCCATTCCTGCACTTCCAGTCCAGATAGGCCGTACCTGTGTAACCGCCCCCAGACACACAACTGAGGTAGTCAATCTTCACATTCTTCTGCAGTAATCGTCGTAAGACTCCGGAACAAAAGGCCGCTGACCTTATCCCACCACCAGAAAATGCTAAACCAGTTTTGTTCATGGCTGCAAAATGTTTAAAAAGTGAGTTAAAACTACAGTCAACTCTCTCATAAGCGACCGACCACCAGTCAGTCAGTCAGTCAGACTGCACGGAAAAGTAGTCGCTAACGAGAGGTGGTCGCTCAAGGGAAAACATAGCAAAAAAAAGCTCAAACTTGGATGATTAACGTAATTAGATAAAGATAATTACCTTATAAGCTAAAATTTAACAAATAGTTAACGTTTTCTCTGACTGAAAGTAATTTGTTCTTTTTTTTTCCTAGTAACAAGTACAGTACAGTTTGAAATTTGTCACTTGTTATAAAGTTAAATCACCTAAATTCAACTTTAACGGGAAAAACCTGGGCATTATGTGAAACATGAGGTGAATACACGTATACTTAAACTCTAGTCAGTCAGACTACACGGTATTTACATTTTACAATCAATCGATAGTATTCGAAAGCTTGTCCACCAAGTCTTGAATGCTCGATTGCTTTTGTGCATTGAGCCTCAAGTCAACAAGAATATCACACACTTTGTGAATGCAAAGGACAACCCTTTCGACCCCGATACAGGGCTTGAAATAGCGGCCGGTCAACGGACAATGTCCGGCCAAAAATAAGATCGATGGATGGCCAGACATTTTGTCCGGTCGTTTCGAGCTGAGTTTAAATATTTTAATAAGTCAACACTATAGGCAAAAAAGGGGGAAAGATACAGACTACCAAACCAGAAACTTTTAATACATAATTCATAACAGTAAAATTACCAGTAGTTTTTAATTTTCCCTTTGTCATTTACCGGTATCTATTTGCAATCGCAAATTTAGCGTGATGACTTTCGGGCAGGCTTTCGGAGCAGCGTGTGTGTCTTTGTGTGCCGATAATTACTATATTCTGACTTATAGTCCGCCCGAATTTTATAAACAGGATTTGAAAAGTATAACATTTTGGTTCAAAGGTCTTGGGCATTTTAGATGCAATTTAACGTATTACGAAGGGGAGAATTTTCTGATTCCTCTCTCCATCACATTTAATTTCTGAATCCGAGAATTTTGGGTTTCCTTTTTTGAACGAAAAGAAGCCTAACCTGTGCATTGAAATGTGAAAAATTAAACTTCAGGAAGACTTAGGGAATTTACCTCATAATCTTCGAAAATTGAACATCAATCATCTAGAAATTTCTGGTTGTCCAATCAAGTAATAGAAAAGTGTAGGCAATATTTGCTTCTCCGAACAGATATTTTACAGAAACAGTTCTTGGGTACTTCCCCGATTTCTTTAACAAAAGAGCTAAAATTTCTGAAATGCAGACAGAAACACCTCCAAAAGAGGGATAACAACTTCATCATGAGGCTTAGAAAAGCTTACAAATCAAGAACATCGACAGAAAAATTACCTTTTACGTCTCGCGGTCTTCTAAAAGGCAAAGGGCCTTAAGAGCAGCAGTGGCAAATCGCTGGAAATCAAAAGCCTTAGCACAATTTTTGGCAAGTGTGTGGCTTGTCATAAATGTTGACTCCACGCAGATTATTTTGAAAGTTTAAAATTGTTTAGTGTGCAAAAATTATTTTTGTACAGCGCGGGCGTTCATTGGATCAACGAACTTGCGCGTAGGTAACAGGAGATCATGCACGGGATTAGCCTCTCAAGAGGGCATTTCTGAGGGGCAGCTGGTACATGAAAGAGCATGCGCAGATGCAATGACAAAGAACGAAGAAAGCGATCTTTGTACCCACAAATTTTGATTTATTTTGCGGCTTTATCGTGTGTTCCACTTTTCCTTCATTAACTTCGAGGCTGCACGTATTTTTGTCGAAGTATGACCTAATGGATACTTGTCCGGCCCAAATCGGGTTGTGTCCGAGCAAAAATAGGTTTGACCGGCGCTAACCGGGAGATTATTTCTCCCTTTATTTTTTGAAGTACACTGTTATTCGCAATGTATTATTCAGCGCTCTAGTGTCTTGCGAGCAATGATTTTATTACAATCATACGTGATCGTGGGTAGTAGGGAATGTTCGAGTTTGGATTTGAGTTCGAGTTCGAGTTCGAATTGGACTTCGAGTTGGACTTTGAGTTGATGTTCGAGTTTAACTTGGCAGAGTTGTATTACGAGTTGAACTTCGTTTCGAGTAATTTTTTGGGGATGAAGATATCTTTTTGGTGATCATACTGAAGCAATAAAATCACCTAAGAACTGAGTGATAAGTTTTCAACTGAGGTAGACGTTGTTGTGATCAAGTAACATTCAGTTTGATTTTAGAGAGTTTTAAGTGAGTAAGTAGACCTTTTGTCCTTTATTAACGAGAGGAAATCGATTCTCATTTGCGCCCAGAATCCAGCCTCAGTATATGGGATATATAGATAGAGGGGGCAATCTCAAGGACAAAATCTTTTCGGAGCCGACAAAGACTGAAAGAAATGCCCCTTGATCCACGCAAATGAGGTTCACTCGTGTAAAGAGTCCGATCCGCGTTGAAACAGAACTGATTAAAAGAGCGCAATAGACTCTGGATTCTCTTCACACGTCTAACTGTTTGGTCAATATCAGCTTTCAATGGTTAAGCAATACCAAAGCTAAATCAGTTGTCGACCAGGCCATTCACAGCGAAACTTGTGTAGTTGTTCTTAGAGTTGCGGGAATCATTGTAAGTTACAATAGGCATTGTTATTGTTGTGGTTTGGGTCTAATGTTCAGTTTCTTTTCAATCTTTTGTTCTTTTAATTTGGTGATTACAACATCGCAAGACCTAGAAACTTCCCGTCTAGCTGAAGGCATGCAAAATGCCATGACACTAGTTGAAACGGAGCTAAACAATGCCACACTGTAAGTACGTATCACCAAAGACAGCATTATCTTGGAGCCGAGGATCAAATATTGAAGTTTGAGCAAGTGTCATTATAAATTTGACTTATATATAAACCGCATGTTCAAATATTAAAATTAGATGAATTATGTATGATTTCAGATAGACTTAAGCCTGATAACTTTACGAGTTATCCTGAAAGTCGTATTAATTTAAAAAATCTTTACGCCGAAAAGTAAAATCGCGAAATTTGTTCATTTGTAAAAGAGGCAAATCATGCCCAGTGAGAAAACTAAAAACGCAAAAGATAGGTTACTGGGTTGTGCTTCATAAACCAACGACCTCGTCGCAATCGCCGTCTCCTTTTTATTATTTTTTTTTTCCGCTATATTGGAAACAGCTCCATAGAGGCCGTAACCTTAACGAATTTCATGAGGCTTGCTGCTAGCGTAAGACGCGACGTTAACCCAAATTATTTTGAGACAGATCAAGGTAGTTTTGTCAAAATATATGCCTTTATTGGCTTAAATAACAATATTTACTGTATAGGTGCGTTAAACAGAGAACGTACGTCTCTCTTTTAGATAAGATTCGTTCATTACTATTAAAATAAATAGACAGCCTAACCTGTTGACATCAATGACTGTTGTACTCTCCGTATATCACATATGTATAAATAAAATTTGGCGTCAAATTCATATTTTGTTGAAAAAATTGTATTGTACATTAAGCCTGTCTGTGAATTCGTCTCCGATTTTTATAGTCGAACAATAAATAATTAACTTAAAAACATACAACTAACTGCCTCGTACTGAAATGAGTAGAATCTTAAATGGTCTTAAATTTTAATTGCAATCAGCTGTGCCTCGAGTTTACTTCAAACTTGGTTTTACCTTCCGGTTAAAAATTCTAGGTAATAACACTATTATTATAGACAGGAGCAACAGCTACTGTTATAAGTGAAGTGTGTCTAGAAGATTATTAATAGTTTGTGTTTTATATGAGTCCCAGTTTGCTTGATCCTGCATTTTTTGCTCTAGCGTATCCTGGCTTGGGTATGGTGGAATCTGCGGTGAAATAGTAATATAAAAAAATAATGTAAGTCTGCGAAAATATGCACGGTTTAAATGGGGTATAAGACTTGAGTCTGCTAAATCGCGCCACGGTGAGTATTTTTCATTCATGNAAGGTAGTTTTGTCAAAATATATGCCTTTATTGGCTTAAATAACAATATTTACTGTATAGGTGCGTTAAACAGAGAACGTACGTCTCTCTTTTAGATAAGATTCGTTCATTACTATTAAAATAAATAGACAGCCTAACCTGTTGACATCAATGACTGTTGTACTCTCCGTATATCACATATGTATAAATAAAATTTGGCGTCAAATTCATATTTTGTTGAAAAAATTGTATTGTACATTAAGCCTGTCTGTGAATTCGTCTCCGATTTTTATAGTCGAACAATAAATAATTAACTTAAAAACATACAACTAACTGCCTCGTACTGAAATGAGTAGAATCTTAAATGGTCTTAAATTTTAATTGCAATCAGCTGTGCCTCGAGTTTACTTCAAACTTGGTTTTACCTTCCGGTTAAAAATTCTAGGTAATAACACTATTATTATAGACAGGAGCAACAGCTACTGTTATAAGTGAAGTGTGTCTAGAAGATTATTAATAGTTTGTGTTTTATATGAGTCCCAGTTTGCTTGATCCTGCATTTTTTGCTCTAGCGTATCCTGGCTTGGGTATGGTGGAATCTGCGGTGAAATAGTAATATAAAAAAATAATGTAAGTCTGCGAAAATATGCACGGTTTAAATGGGGTATAAGACTTGAGTCTGCTAAATCGCGCCACGGTGAGTATTTTTCATTCATGATAACTGGTCAAAGGGCTTTACTGCTTCATCTATCATAGTAAAAGATGATTATTTTATCAATAATATTTTATGTACCCTTGCTTTATGCTACTGTTAAAAATGTCAAAATCGTGAGAGATCCAATAACACTCTAGCGATCAAAAAGGCGATTTGTTTTACAGCTAGACAAACGAAAGTTTTGATTTCATTTAAACGAATCCATGTTAGGTATTTCTTCTGGTTTAAAACATGATTCTTTCATTGAGGTACTTTTGCGGTTCTTCCAGCTCCTTATCGATGTCTTAATGTATTTTGTGTTCTGTCCACTCTATTTTATCTGTAAGTCCATCGTACTTTTCATTCTGAAGTTGCATCAATAAACCCTGCATTATTATTAATATTATGTTTTTATGATAATACAATGGAAAAACACGCCTCTAAATACTGACCAGATTTCTTAATTTTCGCAGAGTAGACTCGTTTGCATGCTGAAGGAACCAACTTTTCTTTATAAGCACACACTCAGCCCCGTTGCTAACCTGGAATTGTATAATCATAAGTTAGTCTTTTTTTTACAAAAATCCTCCTGGTTTTTGTAGATTCTATAAACTCTTAAGAACTCATTCCAAGATGAACTCCTAATACAATACCTGGATTAAAGGTGTAAAAAGCTTCCGTACTACATGAACTGACAAACTTACTTACAGCAAGGGAAAAAAGTTGAAACAGGGATTTTGAGACCGGTCATTTCGCCCCCAAGTCATTTCGCTCCGGTAACTTCGCCCCCTATTTTCGAGTCATTTAGCGCGCTCCAAATATTCTTTGTTCTATAAGCCATAAGCCAAAAGAAGCGCGCTTAAAGGGTAATATTCCTTGTTCTAAAATAAGGGGCTAAGTAACCGGGGCGAAATGACTTGGGGGCAAACTGACCGTAAAGTGACGGAATCTCCCGCGCACCAACCGACTGTGCTAATCCTTAAATACTCCTTTCAGAAGCATGCATGCTTCTCAACACACACACTTTGGTTTCATTTATCAGTACTTAATAACAATGTAATAGGTACATACCAGGTGACATTTAACTGCAGGATTATCAAACAGTATCATTGAGAGTCCCTAGAAAAAGAAAAAAGGATAATTTCTGCAGTAAATGGAAAATGTTGGACGATCAAATTTATGTACTTAAATTTCCGAGAATTGTAAGGGCGTCAGTCAAACTAGTCCGAAGCATGTTGTTGGATTTTTTTCTTCTCACGATAAAAAAAAGTCCTACTTTTATAACAGCGGTGGCATGAATGGTCATTTTTTGGATTTTATCAGCAAGATTATGGAAATCAAAATAGAGATTTCACCTTGTACTACCACATATATACTAAAAAGTACCTCGGGCTATATAGCTTAACAAAGTCCATTATGTGCAGGATAGTGAACAATATTAATGGGAATGACTCTTAGGATAGCCGTTTTATGCATCTAAATACTTCAGTTAGAACCAGCTAGTACAGCATAATAAATATCAACACAAGAAAGTGCCACTTAGTACTAGCTTACATTTGAATGCTCACTCTTCAGGATCAGGTATCCGCTGACTCAAAAAAGCGCCACCAGTGCAAAGTGCTGCACGTTGGCTTTCATTTAAACGGGTCACACCACAGGTCGGAGTAATCCACAGACTCAAACTTTACAGTTTAAAAACCCCTACCACAGGAAAGTACTGCTCAGGGCTTTCAATTAAACGAGTCACACTTCAAGATAAATTGATCCACAGACTCAAAAGTTAGAACCACTAGTACAGCGTGACAAACAGTACCAAAGGAAAGTACCGCTCAGTAGATGGTCACGTTTCACGATTCCATCCACAGCGGACTCAAGGCATATACGTAGTAGAATGAACAACCCCACATAAAAAGTATTGAGCTTTCCACTACCGATACAGTGAAAAAGAATATACACATAAAAGAGGTCATGAGTGACGACGTACAAATTGATCTTTTGGTTTCAACAACTCAATCTGTACCACTACTTGTTCCCCTTTCTGATCCAAATCTGGTGTTTCAATCTAAAATCAATACAACAATAATAATATTAGTATAGTAACATATATAACAATATTACATAATTTTATAACTGAACTTTACCTTAGGTTTATTACAAATTTTGGGTGTAACAACTATTAAAAAAAAATTGTTGCAACTATTCTTGTTCATAAAATAACAGTAATTATAGCGTCAGTCTTTTCTGTCCCAAGAGTCTCAGCCCAGGCACATAACAGGAAAACGGGAATTTAAAATTGGTGTTATTCAGTACCTGTCCCAAATATATGGATTAGCCATTGATACATGAAACTTTACTTAGCCCAGCAGCTTAAAAGACGCTTGAAAAAAAGGGGACACGCGGTTTTAACGATCTGTATGTACTAGTTAATGCACGAACTTAATTTGTATTAGTGCACTTAACCACAGACTTCTATGTTCTTCTACATTCTGTCTTTAGCACATTGTTTTCCTCAAGCAATGCATTAGGTTGTTGCAAAGAAACGATTCTTACAAATTGTATGTATGGTAAGAATATTCTGACTACGTTAATAAAGGTTACTTACTTAGTAATACTAAACTTACCAAAGGCGTTTTATTTCGATTTTTGTCCACACTACTGATTCGTCTGTGCAGTCTTTCAATTTTTTCTCTATGTTCTTCGCTTTCTTTAGCTACAGCTTAAAAAAAACAAAACAAATGATAAACTGACATTTTCAAACCTGACACCCTTGTTGGCATCAATACCATTTGCTTTAGCAATTCGAATAAGTGCCGGGCTCCTGTGTATGTTTAGAAAATTACTAACCACGTTACGTTAAAGAACAAGTCAGAGGGCTTTACCTTCCCTAGGAATGATACTCATCCGTGCAACCCAACTAACGTTTTTCGCTACTTTCTGTGGAGTAAATGAAAAATACAGTAAATGACAAAACACACAATGGCTCCATTTACAAAAGACTAGTTTTAATGAGTAAAGTGGTATGTGCGCGAGAAGGAGGGGAAAGGGGGATTATGGCGCACGAGAACGCGCGCGAAACATGATGCTCGACTTGAACGGCTGACAGCTGGGCAAAACTTAAAACCTTTGTCGTGCAAAAAAGCGATAGATGCTAATTTTAGCGTTTCTGTGTCTCTTTAATTTCGAGGGCAGGAGGGCTTACCACGCAGGATGCATCACAGCCAAAAACAACATGTTCTCAATAATTATTTTCTTCGAGAAAACTTTCCTCTATACCCAAGTTTCAAATATAAGCATTTACCTTAAATTTTTCCGGTTCACCAACTAAAGCTGGTAGAGACAAGTCTCTGTTTTTGTGTGACGATAGTGAAGGTTCGGTTTTTGGTCGTTTGATTTCTGGAGACCAAGCAGTGGGCCGAACGCGATCACCAGCAGCTGTAAAGATACAAGTACATAAAACAACCATTATGCATGTAAATTCTGAACAAGTTCAACTAAAAGCCATAATAGACAGAAGGTTTTACTTTATAATTTGTTTTTATAAAAACTAAAGCTGATGTCAAAATTACCACTTGCATAAGCAAAAACGAATCAAAATATTGAAAAAAAGGAAAATAAAGTATGGACCGGTTACTCGGTTGTACCTAGCAAGCTTGTCTCGTATTTAAATTGCAATGAAAACTTTTGAAATTCCGAGCTAAAATCAGAATTGGTGGACTCGAAAACCGATCCTGGGTCGCACATGACCGTTGCCAAACATAAGAGTTCATTGGGCGACTGTCTTGTTGCCAGACAAGTAGCTTTATGATACGTTACCTGTGTACAGCGCTCTCCTCCTATCTGTTTCATCGACGGGAATCACGGGAAGGATTGCCTTTGACTTCCCCTGATCAACCGCTGACCGATTTAACTTTGCAGTCTTCTTTGATAAATGAGTTAGAACGCGGCAGGACCCCTGAAGATGAAAACATTTCATGGATTTATTTCAAGCGAGAACACGTCAGAAAAGACAGTCAAGCAATAAATAACATTACTTTCAGAATGTTTTATGATTTGTATACATGCATAGTTAGAAAATGTCGATACAGTTATCGGTATGGAAAACAGAGTAAATAGCTTAAAGCACATGAAAGAAAGTAGAGAAGAATCAAGTCAACCCAAATCCTTACCTACCCGTCCCTGTGGAACAACGACGTTGTGGTTAATGAGATCTATATCCATTTCAGCATAATAAACCTCTTTAGCTTGTATGTTTTGTTTTCCCAATGGAGGTCCCAGGGGAACTTGACTCGTTGTCTTTTCATAAATTATGCGTAGATATGCATGTTAATAAGACGAAATTTGAAAGAAACAGTTCCCTAGAGTATTATCACATGACCTGTATTCGGAAAACAAAACATACAAGCTAAAGAGGTTTGTTGGGGGAGACAAGTCATTTTATGATATCCGTAACTGTAACTACGTACCGTTTTAACAACGTAAATCCATTTAGTCTTGCTCTCCTTAACTATAACCACACCCCTCCTACAGAGCAAAGAAAAATACCAATCATTTAAAATTTCCATGAACCAATATCACATAGTGAAGAAAAAAGAGAAGACTCAGGTAGAGAGCTTCAATCTGTAATGAACACTTTTTGTGACATTTCTTGTTAGTCTATCGAATATTGATATCAGAATCATCTCGAAAACACGATCTCTGAAAGTTTCAATATTGTATAAAGTAAAAAATCTGAGACATTCACGAGCTACCCCTTTTTGTATCCTTAATTTCTCCTTCTAAAATCATTTTGTTTGAGAAGTAATATGAAGCATTTTACACAGTGTTTCATCACCAGATGAAACACCTCGAAGTTTGTCAACTCTATTTTCGTCCCTCTTCTCAGCGTTTCATCTGGTGATGAAACACTGCGTCTCTTCCATGTTTTTTTTTTTTGCCTTAAGCGTTGACTGATCGGCATTTTTGGAGGCAACTAGAGTCAGTGGTTTTAATACGGAGTCGGCGACTCATGAGGCATTGCCAAGCGCGATTTTCTACCTCTTTATGAAACATATATTAAGTAGCTATACAAGTAACGTACAGGATAAATAAACGCACCTGAAGTAATGAAATATGCAGACATCGTGTTTGGTGGTTAGATCATCCACTGGAAGATCTCTTAAAAACGGTACACTTCTGTTGAAATAAGTTAGGATACACAATTCTATTAGCTAATGATGACTGAAGTCAAAATGTAGTTCGACCTAGGCCAGTGATTTTCATGGCAGGTGAATTTTAAAAAATAAAATTGGTATTTAAATTAAGATATGATCTATTTATTTAAGCAATTGCAAATTAACCCGAAAAAATTTTGGGGACTTCAACGGAATTCGAACCCATGGCCTCTGAGTTAGCGCTGCAGTGCTCTACCTGTTAAGCTGTTAAGACCCATACATTTGGAACAGGCCAATTTGTTGAGTTCATCTTAACCCGTGAAAGGTATGAAACATAGAATGAAGATAATATGAAATGCGGAAATACAAATTTAAAAGTCCCGAAATTTTTTGTTCGAGTTGAATTGCAATTACCGCTGCGAAGATCATATCTTCATTTAAATTTGTATTTCCGCAAATCATATCATCTTCATTCTAAGTAAAATTCTTACTTTAAAAATCTAATGTGTTCTGGTTCTCTTCCGTCCTCATAACTCATAAAGATATCTCGAAAATCCTGCAAGAGAGGATACCAACTGTTAGATAAATGAAGCCGTTCGTTATGGAGGGGAAACAGATGCGTTAGATACTACCATACAACGAACCTCTCTGCAAACTGCCAAAAGTGAGACTTCATCTTTGCATAGAACTGTCGCACTGCGAGTCTTATGATGAAGCAAGGCCAGTTCCTGTAAGATGGAAAAATACTAAGAAAAAATACTAAGACGATACTGAATATGAAGCCAGCGCAATACTGAAAATGATATTCGCACAATATTGAAACTGTTGCATGCGATTAACTGGACGTTTTCTGAAGCGACAAAATACTGACTTACCCCAAAACTGCTTCCTTTACCCAACACAGCAACAGTGGTGTTTCTTTGTTCTCTTGTAACAGGATCATTAACCAGCAAAGTAACGACCGCTGTCATAAGACAAAAAACCTGCTTTTAGTACAAAGCAACAAAAAATCACGCAATCAATCGTCAAATCGATCGATAAATCAGTCAATTGATCATTCAATCATTAAATTCGTGGAACTTCTGGCAATATGCGTGTTTGTCCTCACCTGTACCGGAAAGGATGAAATAAAAGTTCTCTGCTTTGTGACCTTGCCTGATGATGACTCTCTTTGCCTCAAACCTGAAATGTAAATTGAATTGAATCAGAGTAACATGGCCGAGCTGGTAGGGTACAGATCCGCTAGCCGGCTGAACATTTGGCTGACCTTAAAAGGTTTTGAAGTCTGAGGTGTTACTGGCCATTACCTAACTACGCCTCTAGAATTAAGACTGAGTAAGGAGAGTGATGAGATACAATTTGAGTTCCTGGCGCACTTGGGAAGTAAGGCCTGCGGCGCAAGGGTCATAGCACTTACCTCTACCGGGAGACAACCATTGGGTCCCATGTTCAAATCCCGGCGTCTCAAAAAAGTTTTTTCCGGGTTCTCCTGTTTTTCCCTCTCCTCAAAACCAACATTTCAAAATTCCAATTCGGCCAGGAATGGTTGACAAAGAACAACTGTGTGGATGTGCAACCTTTTTTTTTTGTTTAGCAAGGGTTGATTAGTAATTCACTCACCTTTCGTACCAGCCAGCAGATACGAGTCGACGCTGCATTTTCAGCGGATACTCCCCAAAAGCGGCGACACTGGTCTTAAGCGCCACCAAGGCCTAGAAATAAGGAGAGTTCAAAGCAGAATTTCAGATCGCCTTTCTCGTGAAGTGTGGATAAATTATTTGCGTTACCCCTATGCCTGCCCCTACGGAAGTTGCAACCTTGACCTGGTCGTTTTCAAAGCAGCTTAGATCATGAAGGAACCAGGGCCCGGTCCCTGAAAGGCCGAGTAGCGCTAATTCATGATTAAAATTTTGTTCCGTTTTTTGTATTTTACCTTCCTGATTGCTTAGAGTAACATTTTGTGGTATCATTAGTGTATCTCGGAGTAAAGGCTCAGCATTATTTTGTAAGCTCAAGTTGAATGTTTTTAGGCAAGAAAACCTTGCTCAAAATTTGGCTTAATCCTGGGTTAAACTTAACTGTCTTTTGAGGAACCCGGCCCTGTGGGATAAGTTTGAGTTTGCCCTCTCGGGTCTCCATGATAAACTACATATAACCAAAATCATGCATATTTGCGTTGGCCTGCGAGTGAAGCCCTCCCTTCTCGCTCCTCGCAGCTAGTGGAACGTGCCAAATGGCTAGGAGACGGAGGGGAGAAGGCTGTATTCGCAGCCATGCAATCGGACGGTTCATTCATTTAAGTGACTTCTATGGGGTCTAACACGTACCGTTTGAAGTTGTTCCTCAGTCCTTGACCCAGGACTTAAGGACAAAATATGAATAGCTTCTTGACTGAGATGTACCTGTTAAATAGTAGAAGACAAAAAAAGAGAGCTATTAAACCCTTTCACTGAAAGGGTGGCCAAAGTCAAAATTAACAAAAAAGAAAATCCAAATTTCATTTTGTACAGTTTTATTTCTGTAAAAGAAATATCACCATGTGAAAGTTTTCATTTGCCAGGAATAGTCACACCACAGGAGTTTGTCCACAGAATCAGAAGTTAGAACTCTACATGCTAAATAAATAGTGCAATGTGAAAGTACAGCTGAAGAAGTTTCATTTGAATGGTCTAACCACAAGATTTCATCCAAAGACTCAAAAGATAGAACTACAAACTAAATGCATTATAGATAGTACAATGAATGGTAACACCATAGGATTTCGTCCAGAGACTCAAAGTTAGAACTACATACTAAATAAATAGTACCACGTGAAAGTACCATAGGATTTTGTCCACAGACTGAAAAGATAGAAGCACCTTGTAGAGACTCCGTGATTTACTATAACAGTGAACGAAAGGGTTCATTCAATGATATTAAGAGTAATTCTAATTGTCTCTTATAGAAAACAGCTCAGTCAAATCTACTCACATATGCCTGTAAGTGTAACTACTCAGCATGCGCCGTGATAAAGGAAAACCACGTGACGGTATAGACTCACCTCCCGTACAGCTTTAAAGTTACTTGGATCAAACACTACTCCGTCGCAGTCCACCCCGGTTACAGCTTCCTCGTCCAGCTCAGCAAACACATTTGTGGCATTCTGGGAACGGTATTTCCTAAAGCAGTCGACGTCATGTAAGCAACAGGAAATTTAAGCAACAACGACTGTGACGACAACGAAGACCGGCAAAAAAGCACTAGGTTGAGAATAGCAAAACAACAACTCTGTACATGCATCGTTTCTGTTTTTCTGAATTTCGCTACAGTCTTTTATAGAATTCAACACCAGAAAAATTCACTAGCAACATTTGACAAATTAAACGACATGGAATAAGAGTTATGAATTTTGAAACAGCGTAAATTAACTTTTAACTAGAGAGGTTTTCAACACCGTCCTTGTCATCATTACTTAACCATGTTAACTGAGCTTCCTGTGGTCACCTAATGTGCTCTTAGGTCTTTAGTGATTTTTGGTAGAAACCTCTTCTTTCACTGAAGTTTGAGAAAACACTTGCCATTGTATTTCAAATAGCTAAAGGGATTATTTGAGTAATTTTACTGATTAATCTATTATTTCGATAGTTGGCGCCCCATCCGTTCTAATGCCCTACTGAAACACATGAAAATAGGCAATCACTCTCTCGAAAACCGAATGTAAAGAGGTTTTTTTTTCACGGAACACTTGTCGTGTGCCACTGACCTGTCCATAGAAGTCTTCATCTTTAGAAGGAAACTCAACAACTGCACAATCTTTCGAAATCTCTCAATTGGCTGTGAAAAAAAGACATTATAATAAGCGCTTTAAAAGCAATAAATGAAGATAAATTGCTGTAGATAAATGTATTAAATATGCAACTAAATGCTTGTTATAAAGTGATAAGAAAGACAGCAATATAAAAATACTTGCTTTGTACACGTTTAAAATTAAATCAAGTGAATTGTTACATTCTTTCTTTTAACAGAACTCAGAACTACAGTTACGTTGATGTCATCGTAACGTTATTTGACTCCTTTTTGACGCAATTTATTTTATCTCAATAATAATTTGTAGCCACAAAATTTTAACAGCTAAGTATTCAATTTAATTTGCCGAAAATCATTTAGTTGTTTTTTTTTTTAATTATATCGATTGTCACCAGCCTCCTTGCGTGGGCCAAGTTGACCGGTCATCAAATTTGTTGGCGAATTTAAATTGTGACCAGTTTTGAAATAACAAGTCTTCAAAGTTGTTGCGGAACTAATCAAAAGTACCCCCAGGATATTTTACAATGACACGCAATCCTGACTTCCCAGTAATGATGGACCGTAACGAACGAGAACTGCAGAGTCACGAAACCCACCTCTATATTTGGACGAGTTTCGTCCTTAATTTCATTTTCAGCTGAAGTTTCTATCTCGATTAAATCCGTTTCAGGTTCATCGGCCTCTTCCGTCTTTAGAGATGGTTGAGGACTTGTTGGACGAACCTTGACTCGCCTCCTACCAGCGTTTTTAACTTTATTCAATGTTTCGCCGTCAGTATCACTTGTACCGAGGAAATGTGCTCGTTTCCGAATGTTGTTAACTGAGAGATAATCTCTCAAGTAATTCGCAGGCATAGAAGCGCGTCTTTTAAACGATTTTCTTCCTTTCATAAGAGCTTGGTTGGAGGAGTTTCTTTGCTCTAGTTTAGGCTTGTTTACCATTGTTGAGTTTCTTTCGTTGTTCATAGCAATAAAGTTTATTCCTCTAAGCTCTGTGTCCGAATTAGATATTGTTTTTCTAACTTTCAAAGGGATTGGTTCATCTGACTGAGGAATACTTGTAAGCTGATTCAACGAAGACGACAGATGTCGAGAAAACCTCTCAGCTTCTTTTTCTCTCGATTCTCTGTCTATATTTATCCTGCTGACACATATAGGGAGTTCCACTGGATCCATTGCTTTGTCCCTATTACTATTCTTCTGGGAACTTGGAGGATCCTTTTCGGACAGGCTCCGAGTGAAAGATTTTCGTGGGAATGTTCCTTCTTTCCAGGACTCATTGATAAGCTTCTTGTCTTTTTTGTTGTCAAACACGTTGGCCATTATCGGTTCTAAGAAGGCACCAATGTCAAATTGCTCTCTTTCTTGCAAGTTGTCCTAGCTTGCACGTTGGACGTTCTGAGACTGCTCCGCAATCTTCGTGAACCCAGAGAAACCAGATATTTCTCCACTCAATTATACCGGAGTCAAAATCATGAACAACCATCAAGTACTTTGAACGATGTGTTAATCGCAGCGTAATTCCGAGAAAAGTGAAAACAGTTATATGCTAAGCTTATGCGTTACAGCGTCACTGAGGGCCAAGAGGTCTTGAACTGACTTTCAAAAAGTTGATCAGTGTCACCGAAACAGTCATTAGTCCTCATCGAAAAGAGAGAAAGTAACGCTTAATTAATCTCGTTTAAAAGTTTCTTAGCCTAAGCAGCGGAATGCCAGCTAATTTAAATTCGAAGGAAAACAAGGCTTAAGAGGTTGAGTCACCATGAGTCACATGTAAACATAATCAGCTCTGTAGGACTCTCTCGCATCAAAGCACATTGTCAAGAAGAATTTTAAAACAAAAGATCGGAACTTTTAGAATAAACACGGAGCCGACTAATTTCACCACAATTGTCGCCCTGTCTATGGCTGAATGCTAAATATAACTTGAGATATTGACAGTTTTCTTTTCAGCGACGTACTAAATGGCAATTGCATTATAAAGTCGACAATGCATATTTGCCCATTAAGCGGTCTCGGATATGACGTCCAAGTAAAAAAAAAAAAGCGTAATGAACGTTTTTTTTTTTACATCGTATCTCTGTTTATAATTAGTTAAATTTGTTTAAGCGATCAAGCAATACCCAGATTAGAGGCGGGTTAATGCGGTAAGATATATGAGGTTATTGAGAACTTCTTGTGGATCACTTATCTGTATTAAAAAGTCACATATAACAATAAACTCGTAACCACATAGCGTGATATTATATCCTCCTGGCAAAGTAAATTATGTTAATCACTTATATGCTATTATAAATACTTACTGAGCTTGATCCTCCTAAATCTCTTTGCCTAACTTATAAATTCACCGATATTAAACTACTTATTTTAAACTAAAAGCCCCCAAAGATGACTCACAGGGAGGTACAGAGGCTCCCACTCTCAGTTTCCGGTTTTGCATCACACTTTTGATAATTACTGGTACTAAAATGGCATGATTAAAATGGAGAGCCAAACACCACTTCAATTTAATACGGTATGTTGATCATCTATTTAAACTGATTAAATTCATATTCGACAGAAAAGAAAAATAGCTGCTCCGGAAAGGCTTAAAAAATCTTTGAGAGATTGTATTCTATCAGTCAACATAAATACTAAAATAAATAAAGTTGATTTGTGCTTATGAAATGGTCACAACCAGCTGCCTGAGTGTTACTATGTGGGCTTCTTCAGATTATTAAAGCTAGTGGCGGCTGACGGCCAGGAACGTTTTGACAAATGACGACCATTAACCCCATTAAGACGTCTATTAAGACCTTCGTAGGGGCACACGAAGGTATGACGTCATAGGCTCCGCCAACCATAATTTCACTATTCAATAATTTCATTATTTTCATTAATTTCAATTCTTGTACTCCAGACCCCGGTTGCTCAAAAGTTGGATAGCGCTATCCACCGGATAAATTGCTGCAGCCTACAAGACTTTAAGTACAAGAGTAATTTTTTAGGGGGCGTTGAGAAAACTATAGTACCGACCTGTATCGATCTGGCCCCCGGTTGTTCAAACGTTGAGTTGGATAGCACCGCTTAAATCCCTTTCCAGTGGATATCGTAATTTACGGTCCTAATAGTTATCCGAAGTTATCCGGTGGATAGCGCTATCCACCGGATAAATCCCTATACAGGCGATATCGAAATTGTTTGTCCTAATACTTATCCGTCAGATTGTGATTTATCCGGTGGATAGCGATATCCAACGTTTGAACAACCGGGGCCAATGTATCGAGGAGATGAATTTGAATTTTCTTTTGGGTTCATTTCAGTACGCTAATCGACATCCAAACAACAACGACTTAGAGATCTTTCATTTACACTCCCTGCGTAATCCCACCGCAAGCCCCCCTCGAAGTACGAATTTCTCGCAGATGATAGTCTGCTTTAGCCAGTAACCCGGTGCGTGCAACTCCCATACTTAGTCCACGCAACGGCGTTTTTACCGGTCAGTTTTTTTTTTACGTATTTGTAGCATCTTTTTCGAGTACTTTCTCCCGCGAAAACTGGAAGCGCATATGTGTGTGCATCCATAGTACGATAATGACCAAAAGAAAAAGTAAATACTATCAAACCATGAGAAACGCGTATTTGAAAGTCAAAATTCGCGGAGAAAATCTCTCTAAAAACAAACTGGTCTGTAAAAACGGCGTTAACATTGTGGATTGCGGCGCTGGTTTGGGCGGGAGGGAAGGGGGGGGGGGTGGTTACTAACCTCTACAATAATGACCGGTTTCCGAGTAGAGAAGGACATCCTACGATAAGAACCGAAGATCGACAACTTGCGAGTGATGATGGACCTGGCGAATCCTTCTTCTTTTTTCTTCTTTTCCTCCTGAGCAGCTTCTTCCTGTTCTCTCTTCTCCTGTAACTCCTTCTCCTCTTGAACACGAGCCATTTTGTTGATTTGCCGGCTTAATTTTCGCGACTTCTCGCTTGTTGCGTCCATCAGTTTGCTGGCAACCCCAGAGAACGATGCTTGGCGCTGCAAGCGACGAGATTTTTTGTGAAACATCGGGTTTGTCTGTTGAAACAAAAGTCGGCGAAATTGGATAAGCCAAGAGAGAATGAGCTTTAGATCATTCTTATTCTCTCCTGGAGATCATTCTCTCTTGAATAAGCTTAATAAAGTAAAGATTGTCAGTTGCAGAAATGCGCGGTTTTGAGGAGCGAGGAGAGAAGGCCGTATTTGCAGGCTAATAATGAAGCGAAAAAGATCTTCGTTGGTGTCGATTCTGAAACAAGGACTGATGGGCACCGCAGCTGAAACAGTACGAGATTGACCTTAAGATCCGATGACGGCGACGGCGACGAGAACGTCAAACAAGCAATTACAAGCAATAGGTTTACATTAGCAAAATAAAAAGTTTGAACCTGCATCACGCTTTTTTCACATTTCTTTGCCGTCACTGCACGACTACAACGTGAAAACACCTATTTTCACGTTTCATGAACCTAAGGAAGTAAACTAGCGACAACGAAATTTTCTTTCTCTTTCTGAACTTTAATATGGTTCTTAGGAATCATCTCCCCAAGAGAATTCCCCGTATTTGACAGAGTAAGTGAGTTGGAAGAATCGCGTTGAAGACGGAAAAAAAAAGCCGATGAATTAATTTTTTAAGCTAATGTTTTTGTCGCCGTGTACGTCAACGGATCGTAAGTCCCCATTAGAGAGCTTTAGATTTGAGGACGAGTACGAGTACGCCGCAGTGACTTAACTTAAAGTTTTTGGGCGTGTTCTCCATAATAAAGACACCCCGGAAAGCTTCATTTTACTATTTTTCACTAAAAAAGTTAGTACAGTTATTTATACTGAACGAGGTTAAGCCCTCGCCCGATCGCAAATTAAAATGATAAAACTTCTTATATTTGATAACTTGTTCCCGCCACTTCGACATTCTCGCTAAAACTCGTAGCAGAATGACGACCGCTATCACGTTTTCTGGCCAAAATGACGCTGGTTCACGCGTGATTAATACTCAGTGTTGAGAAAATCTCGTACTCGTAGTCGTCCTCGTCTCAGAATCTAAAGCTCTCTATTAAGGGAGCTTTAGCAACGACGCGACGGCGACGGCAACGAGAACATCATAAAAGCAATAGGTTTAGTTTATTGAGAAAAAAAAAACAACTTTGCACATGCATGCATCTCGCTTTTTTTGTACATATCTTCGCCGTCACTGCGCACGACTACGACCTGAGAATGCCTAATGTCAAGTTTTATGGAGGACGTAAACAAGCGACTACGAATTTTTCTTTTTCTTTCTTAACTTGAGTACGAAGTCGAGGACATTCGCCTACATTTGACATTTTCAACAATTTGGAATAAACGCAAAAAAAATTGAAAAAACGTGAATTCATTTCACTAGTGACGTGTTCGCTGCCGTTGCCGTCGTCGATGCTAAAATTTGAGTACTACAGACAATCATTAATTGGTCACAGCGAGAGCTTACAAGAAACCGTTTGTTTTGAGGCAAATCAAAATATATGTTTAATTAGTGTTCGCAGTGCCAGCAGCCTTTCAAAGTTAGCTGTAAATTAATTGCATTTTTCTCTCTTAATGAACAGTTCCAGCACAAATTTTCAATATAACCAAACTGAGCGCCGAGCTATTAGTTTTGTATAACGCTTTTGCTCAGTTTGAACTACTTCTCATAATGCCCCCGGGTCATAATGCAAAATGTTCAATGATTGCAGACAATTTAAGACTGCAGGACCGAATCCATTAGAGAATTCCACATAGAATTGAGTGCATACGACATCTTGTGGAATCAGTTTAATGATGGATGAAAAACAACAGAAATGTACAAGAACTCTGTAACCATGTATGTTTTAATACTATCAACTGTTCAGCAAATTAATGCTCCCGAAATTAACTTTTTTACGCAAAGCCATTAAAAAAACAATAGAGAGCAAGCTTTAGTTGCGGTAACTGAAGACACTGACAGTTTCTTCTCGAGATTTCACTGTAGAAATCACTGACAAGTTGCGCAAGTTTGGCGTAATTCGTGATGTAGGCCTATGTATTTGAATGTGTTACCGAGTGAGTGCCAACTATCTGTAGCAAGACTGTAATATCTATAAACAATTTAACGGAAAGCGGTCTTACTGAACAGTCCGCATGCGCTAAAATACAGCAACATATAGTTTTAACTCTGGCTAGGGCAGCTCAGCTCCGCAGGTATTGGGTATCGATATACTACGAAGATGACGAATACAAAACGTACGCGCCGACTTCACATTGGCCCTTGGCGGAACACACAAGGAAGTTATAGAGCAATTTAAACAAGAAACTAAGCTTTCAGTCACTAAGGACAAACCTGAGTACTTTTGCGTGCTCTATTTGGTGACTTCGTATAATTTCTGTGTCTTTTTACCCCGACAATCATGATTTATTTTGCCGAATCCAAGGACGACGGGCGAAACAGTCAAAGCTATCAGACGGCTGGGTGTAAAGGAATACTTTGTTGCTTAAAGTCAATTTTAGTCAGTCAAATGACCTATTGTAGACAAAAGTCATTCCATGCTTTTTAACAGAGAAGACATAGAAAGCTCATTTAATCCCATGCCTTTGTACCATGATTTTGTTAATCGACGTGTCGATTCAACTTGTCATTGGCAATTTTTCTCACACTGTCGGTTGTCTAAATTAGAGAGCCAAGAAAAGAAAAAAGAGACCGCAAAAATTCAAAAAATATTCTTTTTTGGTTAATTAAAGCTTGCGCATAAATTAGAATAGGGGTTTTTGTGTCACTTATTGTATGTTTTCGTCTTGTTTTTTGCATTAGAGCTAAGCCACCTAAACTGTTAAATCGATTTAAACACATGCGCCAAAGCCATATAATGAAATTTTTCCATAAATGACAGTAGGCCTTCAAATCAAGGTGGAAGGGTAGGGTAGGTGGAGGGGGGGGGGGAATTGGGCGCACTAGGTCCCCTTTCCTCCTTTCTCCCTCGCGTCCTTCTCATATTTTTTTGGTCGAAGCCGGGGTACTCCCGATAACGGCCTATACGTGGAGGCTCCGCCCGAAAGGGATACCTTTCAGTCAAGCTTCAGGTACATGAAATTGATGAAAGGCTGCACGTGGGGATTTCGTAGTTGAAGTATATGAAAGGGTAGGGAAATCTGTCATTGCGATCTGTGAAAGGACCTAAAAGGGCTGACAGACCCATTTTATGGCTGTGAAAAAGTCAAGGAAACATATTGGTTTAGTGATTTATGCACATTTAAAAGCAGTTGAAAGGGACAGCGTTCTAAACTTTTTTATGTGAAAGGGTTACCTTTTGTCAATAGAAGGTAAAAAAAAGGCTACCTTTTCTACCAAAAATGGTATAAAAGAGGATAAGGGGGTTGGACCACAGGCCGGAGATTCCAATCCCTGTATAAAACTCTCATGGCACCTGGATATAGGCTCGGTTTTCGCCATCTCGAGTTCGGCGTTTGTCCAGACTAGCGCGTGGTAATCGAGCCTTACCTGCGCACAATGTGCCCCAGAAGTGGATTCAGGATTTTGACTTGGATGACGGGGTTAAGGTTTTTTCTAATCTACAGTATTCAAATGGGTAAATTAGTGTTTGAGTATTGATATAGGCAATTCTTTCCTCGAGGCGTGGAGATCAAAATGAGCGAAATTTAAGAAATACGCGTACCTGCACATTGGTGGCAATAAGGTTCCATCTTGTACTTCGCCTTCTTACTGCCAGTCTGGAAGTCTTTCGCTTTGAGTTGTGTAGCATTGCTGGAACGGAATGATGGCGTGCACGGTCATTTTGTTCCGTGACAGTGGGTAAGGATAAAATTCCTTTGGCAGCTGCAAGAAAAAAAAACACAGGTCGGTCATTTCAGTTACCACTACCCGTCTTTGCGCAAGGCCACGTTCGATAGGTTGATTTCGTTCCTTTCCTTCTCCTTAGTAATGTGTGTCGATCGTTCTGTCGGGCAAAAAAGGGGATAAAAGAGAAGAAAAGGTCATAACAAGATGTGGAATAACTCTGTTCTAGGCATTTTGACATTTCCCGTAAAAAACGACGTTGGAATCATGATGTTATTCACTCATTTCCCGCGTGAAACACGTTTCAAACAAACTTTTACTGCTTTTTGAATCGCTATAGAGTTTCGGTGAAGCAAAGTTTATTTACTGGGTGTTTAAGTACATCCCATCTTATGGTTGTAATATCAGCATTGCATGTTCATTTATCTTTATGTATAGTACGCTTGCCTAGTAAACTATTACCTTTAAACGAAACGCAACAAGGCTTCAAATAGTTCAGTCTTTTATTCCTATTATCATTTACGTCACGATTTTGGTCTCTGAAAGCAACCAGGAACTGAAGTTCAAGATTCCTAGCTACACTGAATAGATGACTCGACGGAAGAAATTAAAAGAAAGAAAAAGCATCGTCCAGGTGCTGGTGAGCTCGTCAAGTGTAAACCCAGTTGCCCATAGTTCAATTTACAGTTAAAGAAACTTTATGCTACTAAGACCCCTTCCCCTCGATCACTCCCGGAGTCCATAGGGAAATAAAGGGTTAAGAGATATTTATTGTGCAAACCTGAGAACACAGCGGTGCTCATGATCCACAGCTTCCATTGACAGTATGCGTATCAAAACGGAAAATAAAATTCACTTTGACCGTTGAAAGTTCACTGAGTCATGCTGATGCGTGCGAATGGGGTTACGCACGGGTAGCCCAAAAAGCTGTACACAGGCTAAGCACGGAGGGAATAAATTATCGCTATGGCGACAATATATTGAGTTCTAGCCGAAGAGTCTAGGCAAACATGGCAAATGTTTATTTTACTTGTAAAACCTCAATCGATAGGTTTTTTTGACATCCGTAGCAAAGAAATCTGTTTATAATCTGTATAAATCAAAGGGAAGAATTTGCGCAAACAGAGGAGCAATCCTTTTTTATACTTCGGTTCACACTGTTAACAAGTTACGATGACCATAAACTATCTATTCGGTGCAGAGGGTTTATTTATATTTCAGTAGATCATGGAGACTTGTAATTGTTTGGTATAATTTAGTATTCTCCGTGATCCTGAGCCGTCGGGGAATGATCAGAGATCTTGTCGGGATAACATGTTTGATTTAACTACAGGATTACGTGTGAAATACTGGATAATTATGATAAAGTTATATTGGGTTCTTTGTGAAGAAAGGCTAAGAAGTTTCACGCTTTCTCCCCTTAGAAACAGGAACATTCATTTAAATGGAGTTAACAAATTAGTGTAATAAACAGAACTTCATCTTGTTTACGGAATAGACGTATCCTCGAGTGGTCACTCGAGTTTTAAGAGGGAGCAATAGATATAAAAATCAATGTTGCCTTCAAGAGTGGTGACGTGAATTGTTAGACCCACGCGCAGTCAAACTGCCTCGAATATATTTGCCTCCATTACAGAAACTGTGAGACATACCTTCAACTTCTCCTCTGAAAACATAATTAGTGGACAAAGTATGAATTTTATGCATCCTTCTCTGCGTTTCTTGCCTTTTTCTAGGCGCACGCCATGCCCTTTGAGAGGTATTGCACTCAGTGTTGCGATAACATTTCGATTAAGGAACTGGCTGCTTGATTAATGAAGATCACACGGGACTCACTTAACAACACATGTGTTGTTTAAGCGGAGTAATGAAATGATTTGTGTTTTTAATTTACATCTTTTAAAATAATTCCTTAGGGAAATGAAAGTCAATTTGAAATGCAGAATGAGAGATGGCAAATATAGCGACGGCCAAAGAGGTGTAAACGTGCAATTAGCCGGTTAATAACGAGGGCAATGAGAAAATTATTTGAGATTTACTCATAGACCAGATAAAACAAACTTATAATTTAGACTTGAAGAACATATCGATTGATCAATGCGTTAACATTGTTCTGGTCTTAAGTTCTGCTTACGTATTTTTTTTAACACTCTTCTACATACCTATACAATATCACAATTCAATGATCCTTCAATTTATGACTTATACCGTGCTAGTTTTGTAACTAAAACAGAAACAAAGAACTTTATGAAAATACCGAAAAGGATGTCAGTTGGTTTTGCAGAAATTTCAGTGTTGGTTAGCTAATATTGTGTGGGTGTCGTTTTGATCTTTTGCTTTGCGTTATTTGGTGTAAGTTAGCGATCATTGCCACCAAGAAGAAACTGAAGGAAAAAGAAACAATGGGCAAGACGGCTACGTACAAGCAGAAAAAAGCGTACTGGTTTATCATAAAGGGTTAAGCTGAGTGTACAGTTAAAACCTCAGCCAACCTTGGTTAAGTTTTCATTTTCCATGACCAGAAATATTTAAAATCAATATGATAAAATTGACAATTAAAAGTCCATTTGTACCTAATAAGTTGTAAATGTGTACCATTAGAACATAATGACTATTATCATGCGTTTTTTCAAATTGCACGTTGATCCACGTTCAATATCCCCCAGACGATTTGACCAATAGTCATATGCTTGTCGCGTCTTTTTTGTCGCGCGTTTTCCTTCCAACCGTCGGTTTTCAACGAATTCGAAATCGTTGCATATCAAGAATCGTTTTGCGTAATAACGCCACCAGCGAGCTCGAATAACAACGACTTTGACGGCACATCTGAGGCCCCGCCAACATGTATCCGGATATTTTTGAATCCGCAACTTTTTCTTTCCAGATACGGCTTCCGTCCACACGAAACTGGTTAATCCGGCATGCGAATCCGCTCTCTAGAGTGGAAATATTTTTTATGATACGCTTTGAATCCGGAATCGTGTGCACGGTAAATCCGGATATTATTTTATCCGGTGACTTAGCAAGATCGAGCCCAGTTCTTTACCGTGAATTCTGTACTCAAGATGGCAGCCTCGTTCCCAGGTGCTCTCAAGGCAGAGCAAGATGCAAATTTCGCGCGCTTTATGACGCATGTTCTGTTGCCAATATTCCCAGAGGAGTTCTGGGTAATCCGGATACGTGTCGGATACTTGTGGACGGGCAAATTCGATTTGCATACCGGATACGTGTGGACGTAAGAATTTTTTAATCCGGAAAGAAAAAGTTTTGGATTCAAAATTATCCCGAACTGTCGGCCAGATTCCCTTGGGTTTATATATTTAGTTTTTCAGATAGAAGGAGGCTAATTTTGACAAAAAGAAGGTTTCTAACTTTTATTGACTTCTAAACATGGCAATTTAACATTCAAAAATATAATTTGTACAATCGAGTAATTCTATCCGCATAATTTTACATTGATGCAGCGTGCGGAGAAGGGCAAGGGAGGACACAAGAACAAAACTGACACCCACAAAGCCTTTCTTTAACATATTACAAACAATTATTGATTTTCTAAAAATTCAACTCACAGGAAGTACAAACTGTTCAGCCGTTCAAATAAAAGCTATTCTACATTCTCAAATTCCACTTATTATTTATTTGATTTACGACTTCGTCGCTACTCTGTTGTTCAGTCAAACACATAACACTGTCTTGAATGACATCACATGTTAAGGTTGCTCCAGGACATATCATAGGGTCTGAAATAAGAAAGCAAGATGGCATAACAATGAGTAACTGCCTCAAAGCCGGGAAGAAGGGGGGCGGGGGGCTGGGAGGAAGGTCACGAGTGTTCAGGCCGTTTGACTCGCGTTCAGGCAGAGGTTTTGGCTAGGGTCTCGCTCTCCCACCTAATGGATTTGTGTGGTTGTGCAGAGCTCAACTCCCCGTCCAACTAATAAACTCCAATAGACACAGAATTGACATCGAGCTCTGCTTTGTGGCCTGAAATAGTTTTTTTTTTTCAGAAATTCACCGACCGTGCGTGTTTACCCACCCCCAGCCCTCTTACTAGCGGTCAATAAATCTTCTTTTGTACGGGCACTCGACGATTGCTAAAGTCAGTGAAAAGGTCTTTGGCCAGACAGGGGCCAATATGATTTGACATCACAGAGTGTAGGGGCTGCAATTGGCACATCCGACAGAGTTCTTGACTAATGAGACTGCACTCACCGTTCAGTTGTAGATGGTTTTCCCCGGGCTCCTCTATAGTCATGGGTGTACTCGGTCTGCCAGTGAAGAGCAGGAGTCTGGGCTAAAAACATAAACAATAGCAAAACCGATATTATTTTTAAATAAGCTAGCCTTGAGCCAAACGTGATACACGCGAGCAAATTATTCGACGCCTTGTACGCTAAAACACGTCATTTTATACTCCTCACAGCCAAACTAGACTCATTCTCATGCCACGGATTTCGCGGGGCAGAAAGGGAATATATTTTATTACCTTGATAAAAGCGCACGATTAAGAACGCCATTATAACAGAACCCATACTGATTAAAGAAGCTCTAAAGTTGCAATTTTGCGAGAAAAATGTTCGAGTTTAATGGTACGTCAACCTTGAAATAGTGAATTTTCCATATACCAATGAGAAAATTCATTAACTCAGTGCAGTAACATATATCTGCGCATTCTTCCTAGAGAGAAGGAAAATAAATTTCTCTTCCAAGTACCAACCTACCTTTGGAGTCCGGCCTGAAGCGATCTGTTTTCCATGCAGTTCTTGGTTTGTAGTTTGGAAGTTCTGAAATTGTAAAACAGACGTGAACCCGATGATTGGTACTCGTAGCTTACTCGTGATTGTTTTTAAAACACTAAGTTTCCAACTTTTAGCTTGTTAAATGGAGTTTCTTTCACGGCGTCTAATGATTTAGATACAAAATTGATGGGAGTAGTTGTTGCACCCATGTTCAGGGGAAAGGATAAATTTGTGGATTGGTTCCATTGAGCCGGTTTCTAAATCTATAATGGCCATCTTTATCGCGGTACCTTGTAGAAAATTCAAGCTTACTCAGCGCCAATTGATTTGATTGTTGCTTTTGAATCGGTTCCACTACCCTCCGAGCAGAGGTTTCTCTCTTGCATGGCTTTTAGCGTTTACGAAGTCGTTCGCATGGCTTATGGTGTTGCGTTGTGGGTTTGTTTACGCCCGGTGAAACAAACCAACTACGCGACAGAGAGGCTTCGCGAAAGACTTCGTAAATGCTAAAAGCAATGCAAGAGAGAAACCTCTGCTCGCAAGGTACGGTTGTACCTGAACCTGTGTGTGAAACGTTTTTAAGCCACGCCCACAAAACGAGATACCACTGGTCAGTGTCGCTAAGAAGTCACCTGAGACATGCGCGCGCAACCAAAGCGTTCAGATTTCCCCCCATGGCGGCCCATGGCAAACAAATCTACTTCAGGAGCCATCGCCAAGGGAACGAGGAACTCCTCGCCAGAACAACTCGATGAAGATGACGCACTTACTGAACCCGCGATCGATGACATCGACTCGCTGTTGAGTATCCTGAATTATTAGAATGGAAACATCTATCGCATGGCAAGTTCGATGACGGCCACGGGCGAATTCTTGGTGTCTTTGCGCAGCAGCCCTTGAGGGAAGTTTCAAGAATTTCATTCTTTTAGAGCAGCCACCCCGGAAACAGAGATTGGAAGCAAGGGAAGGAATATATAGCATCCCACGCAGACGTTCTTAGGGGTTCGTCACGCGTTCCTGCCCAGTGATGAACCCCCTAAGAACGTCTGCGTAGGAGGCTAGGGAATGTAAAGCCTAATAGTGAAGCCTATAAAAAAAAACACAGCTTAAGGCTTCATAGCGATGAAGTCGGACCATGCTAGCTGCCAAATACATTGCTTTGCTATCTAATGGCAGTTTTCCTTACCTAGCGGTTTCGCGTTGAAGACTGAGTTATATGTCGTTGTAAACCAGCGGTTTTTGTTGTGTTGTAGAATGTTCGGCGCGGACTGCGATTCCCGGATGGGCGGGAGATTTAGTGACGGGATGTTTTTCCACACCACGTATGACTACAAAGAGTATAATAACAAACAAGCTGCCGGTTAGAATCTGGTCACCGGCTACAAGAATTGTGGCGCTGTGCATGAATCTGGCCTTCTTTTCAGACAGCGGATTTCTTTATTGAATTCACGGCCTGATCATTTCTTTAGCTTTTGAGCGCTCAAAAAGCGCTTATAAGCCGGGTCTAACTAGGTCTAACTAGAAAGTGCGTACTTTAATTGACATTTATTAGGCTTGAATTTTTATAATCGTTGCTCTCTACCTTCAGATTTCTGCATTGACAGAGGAAAGCGTAGTAAACAAGCAGAACATATAGTGGGAGCTTGGTGTACACTGGCAAATCTTTTCCTGGTCTAAGGGTATATTACTATCCCCTTGGTCGACCTTCTTTATCATTAAAAAACGTATTTTATTTACCTGCCAGGGAACGCCATATCAACGTGGGCATCCGAGCCACTCGAAGGCCTAGCCATTTCCAGGGTAAAGGCATTGCCTGCACTGACTTCTCAGCCAATTTTAGACCCTAAGCTGGTTTCGGGTAGGTTCGGGGATCGGGGACTTCCCGCTTTGCAGTCATGCGCTCTACGCGGAATGAGCTAATGCTGCCGTGGTCTAAGATCTGGTTAAATCTGGTTTGGACTGAGTAATTACCTTGTCTGGGTATTGGTAAGGGTCGATCAAGGCAGCATGTGGGTTGTTCTTTCGATGAACTGATGAAGGATACACATTGTGACGACAGTAACCTAACTGAGGGGTTCTGAATGTGGACTTGTAATGACTGGACTCAAAAGGCCAACCAGATGGGAGGTGCTCGGCGGTCCTCATTCTGAGAAAAAAAATGAAAGAATGCGTAGGTTAAACAGTCAGCTATGTTTACTAGGAGCAAGAGAAAAACATGCACTCTTACTTGGAGTCAATAAATATTGTGTGATTGGCTGTGAAGTCTGCCGCAGGTAAATACATGTAACAGTGCTAAAGCCTGTTGAAGGACCTTCTATTATCTCTCAAGAGATCATCGAGCACGCACATAGAAATTAAATCTGCGGGAAATTCATTGCATGCGAGCACAACGGGTGGGAGTGAGTAAATGAGAAAATGGATCTAGCGCGTTAGCTTCACGCCCGTCGACCATGTCTTTGGACACGCTAGCTTTCCCTGTTTCCTAAACGGTCGACTGTGGCACCGTTCGATCGCTCTGTTGTCTGATCGAAGGTACTCATGCTTATACCGAGGTGACTTAAGGTATAGTTGGTAAAGGGTTCCCTCTACAAACTATGCTAGCAAAAAAGCCTCTGAGCGATGCCTCTCCGCGGTACTCAGCCTTGCTGTGCAGGTGAGGCAGGTGGTTCTAAATTTGACCAAATTTCGTGTCTGTAGATTGAATCTTAATGTAAGACTATTCATAAGCTTACTGAATTATGCCTTTGTTTGATGATTTTTATTTTTGCTGTACAAGCTAAGAAATTTCTTAGTGCGTGTTTTAGGTGTTTCTGGGTCGGCGGCATGAACCTTTTCTGAATTCAGCTGTTTAAATCATAAGCAGTTTTTTTTCCTAAGGTATTCGAAAGTCTCTCAGTCTCATTGTTCACCTCACACTGTAATTTTGAAACTCAAAGTCATCCCGATCCCAAGTCTTACTCAACAACTATTCTGCACCGCCTCAGTTTCTGCAGTTGCCAGAAGCCCATCACTGGGGTCACTCCCCCGCAGTTACTTATTGGTTCATCAGCTTCGCTTTAATTTTACGTGCAAAAGTGTTTTCAGATAAAAATTCAACCTGAAAAGACGGAATGAATTTGCCCTAATATCTGAGCGAGAGGTGGTGGTTACCCGCAGGTTTCGTTTGGTGCTCGTGCAGTTCTTCACGGATTTCACGTGCGTGACTGGGGATGAATCACTGAAGTGACCATCAGTTTAAGAGGAAGTTGAAAGGTGTCGTTTAGAGTTTGAAGTCACGATTTTGGCAAAGTAGGGCATAATATGGATCAAGAAGTGTAACAGTTTCTCAAATGGGTCTCGTAACTTAGTTTCGGAATACTTAGGCAAATGCCATGACAAAGAAGACGACTCTAAAGACACTAAGACAGCGCTGCTCAGAGTTGGTGAGACACTTCACTAAGTCTTCACTTCATCACTGGGATTCTCTACCTGCTCAAAGGTAACTAAAATTAGGTCATATTACGTATGCTTGCCGCGAGCGACTCCCAATATGCTCGTTATACTACCGTAACATACAGAATATTATAAATGGGAAACAGAAAATTTACAGAAGCAAAAAAAAAAGAAGTAATTAACCGGATTATATTAGTAAACAGTACCGGACGGGTATACGTGTGTAACATGACATCCGCTTATTTTAGCGTCACATTTCAAGTTACGCTTAGAGCTTGATCGTTTATTCATTGATATCCAAGAGCAGTAGTATATTTTACCTTTGTGGATACGCTGGTGAACCAGTAGCGCCCACATAATCTCTGGCATAAGTCGTCCATGGAAACTGCTTCTTTCTTATTCCAGACGCTATAAATGTAAATCAACAAACAATCAATATAATTAGATGGATTAATTCGCACA